TGGCCTTCCTGTAGACAGAGTATCCCAAAGAACCATCAGGCCTCCTCTAAAACATAACATCCAGGAATGGTAGCTTACCATCCTTCTCCACTTCCATGGTGAAATTGATGGATGGGTGTATGGAGTTAATGTGGTCGAGAAACTAGTTCAATGCTGGATAGCCATGTGGCCAAATGACGAATGTGTCATCCACATATCTCTTCCACAGGGAAGGATGTAGGGTGGATGTCCGGATGGCGTCTGTTTCAAATTTCTCCATGAAAACCTGATTCCCACCACCATCCCGCACAGAAGAATTCCCTCATTAAAACACTACACCATAGGGCCCACTGCATTTCTGAATAACACCACCTGGCCAGTGAATTGGAACATGTACACCCGGCCCTTAAGATGAATGGATATTCGGACCGTATTATCCGCAAAGCTGTTTCTCCAACCATGGAGAAACAACCCCCTGAAACTCTGATAAAAACCATCACGTTACCATACATAGCAGGCATTACCAAAAAGATTTCCAAAATCTTAAACAAACACAAGATCCAGGTCTGATTCAGTACAGTACACAAAATCCGTGATCTAATCCCATCCGTAAAGGATGTCATTCCTGACATGCAATACCCTGGAGTCTACAAACTGAGTTGCATTTGTGGTGATTGTTACATTGGGGAAACGAAACGACATGTATCAGACCATATTCGCGAGCACAAGGCAGATTTGAAACACGGCAGGACTAACTCTTCTGCCGTGGCTGATCACTGCTACAACGCTGTGGGCTCTCATGATATTGTTTTCTCCGAGACCAAAGTGCTCTGCAAGCCGTCTGGCTACCATCAAAGATTTGTTCATGAAGCCATCCAGATATACAAACATAGACATGACTTCAACCGAGAAGATGGATACAAATTGAGCATTCATTGGAAGGATGTTATTAACCAAGTTAAACCTTAGCTGCTTTATATTTTACTTTCATATCCGCATCTCCAGTTTCTTACTCCCAGCCCTGCTCCCATCACTTGGACATTTGCCGTGCATTGTTTCGAGCCTGCAGCTTTCCACTCTGAGCCACGTTCCCCCCCACCCTCTCTCATCATTTGGATCATGTTTGCCACTCTCCTTTGACCCACGCCCCGCCCCCACAATCTCCTTGGCTTCTCCCCCCTTCCTCAGCTATATAATCCCTTGTCACAAGCAACTCTTTTGCCTACGCCAGCGATTGTTTCTTGCTGTGGTTGTCCCCGCCTGATGACGGACGCTTGTGTTGCGCCCAAAACGTCGTAATTAAAATTATTTATTTTAATCTTTTATCTTATTTTATTTATTTTTTATTTTCTTTACCTACGTGACTTTACTGAAAGAACCAAGAGTACGTTATTTCCCTCTGTTCACCAGCATTATTCTGCACCTGGCGAGATGCTATGGTGGTAACAGCACGATCTTAGAAATGGGGGATCGGCACTTGATTCAGTAACGGGGTACACTGTCGAAATTGTATTTGATGGGTGGGTTGTCATTAGGAAAGACAACGTGTAAGCTATCTTCGCAGATTGCATGTCTTTGTAAATATTCGGTGGATGTTGCCAGAAGACGAAGCCAGAGGATTGTTGACAGCCTCATTGTTCCGGTTATGATTAGCATTGATTTTTTCAACCTTACATCTTTCAGATTTGTGTATGAGCTGGATCCGGCTGGAGCTCAGTACTCAGCCAATGAGCAGATCGGTGATAGGAAACAGTTTGCAGCATATTAGTTGAGCTGCCTCAGGGTCATACCTGCAAGTTTCTGTAGCAAAGCGATTCTTGAAATCGTCTTGTTCACATCGGTTATATGTGGGGCTTGAGGGTCAGGCTTCTATTTGCTGTTGTAGAGTATTGACAATCATCTCAAGGTTTGTGCACTGTGCAGCTAGAATTATCGAGAAGCATAAATGAACGTGCGAGATGATGATATACATGGCAGGATACACATATATATGTCGTGAGAGTTATAATCGTGAGTGATAATACTGTACCTCTAGGGAGGCTCAGTATTATCATCACTCACTGTATAACATAAATCTCTTTGGGATATGTTTTCCAGCAAGATGTACCCTGAAAGTGCAGTTTCTGGTGAGAATCACGTCAATTATGTGTGCAATAGAATGGCATCTTACGATTTTGGGCCATCAGCATCAGGCCATGAAGCCGAACAAGGCTCCGGGGAAGCAGAGACGTCAATCATTTCCGGTTTACTGTTGATACTAAAAAACAGCTTCTACGAGCGTGGTGAAGGCAATCCATCTGTTAGTGAGCTTTTCCATTGGTGCCTTTGAGCAGCACCCAAAATGGGAAGCCACAGCATAATTTTATGGTTTTGGGTGGTCTTTGCTCTGTTGCTGTTTGAGGCACCTTAGTTTCCCAGGGAGCTGTCAGGCTTTACAGTTGGATCAGGTTGGTGTTACGGTGCCTTGGAGATGTTAACTACCTCGCCTGGTATACAGGCGGACGTAGGTTCGATCCTCATCGTGACACCTGCTGTATATTTTTAGTTTGCATGATCTCCCCGTGGTCATATGGATTTTCTTGGGGGCCCCCGGTTTTTCCCTCCACATTTAAAAATATGCGTTTAGAGTATTTTGCTGCTATACATTTGCACGTTGTGATAAGCCACTTAGTTGAGCTATAATTTGTGATGGCCAGGCCACTTGTAAAAAAAAGCTACATAGCTCAGTAGGCCTTACTTGGTAAAATAAAAAAAAATGTTTAGTCCATGTGCAGTCCAAATGTGCAGTAATGCTTTCCCACCGTCTTCTTTGTGCAAAGTTCAGGGTCTCCGGCACTGCAGTGCCTTTGTCTTGATCACCATTTCTGATTTACTATTTTAAGGGTTGTTGTGTTTTTGTTTGCCAACATAGCGCATCACTTTTCCATACCGCATCTGGATGTTGTATTTTTTGTAAGAGATGTCAGGATATGGCTCCAAATTCTTTATTTCAGCCATAGCATAGCCAGTTGGCCTTGTGGAAGTTTCAACGTGGTCATGGATTTTAAGTTATGACTGGTATCTGGAATAGGATGGTGCGCGACTGCTGATCTGTGTTGGCCCTGAGGAAAAATGAGATGTATTTTTTCGTGAAGCTTCATGAAGCAATTCTCTTCCTTTGCGATGAAGCATAAGTCTCGGCTAAATTACACTTTTTCCCATTGGGCTGAGTGAAATGTGCCCATGTGTTTCGGGTCGTATTAAAAGGACTGTCTTGTGCCGATTGACCATTCCTTGCGTTTCTTTTCTGCTTAGTGATTTTTCCGAGTTTGCCTCAATGTTGTATGGTAGCTGTTTGCAGTCATCCCACATGGCCAGCAGGTGAGTGGCTTCTGGTAGAGGTGATGATAACGATTCCTTATTCGGGTAGGGGGCGGGCTTGTATACATTGATGGCCATCAAGTAATCAACCGTGACAGTTGTTGTGGATCAGCCATCACTTTTCCAGTATTGGATTTGAGAGCGTACTCCTTTAGGCCACGCCCAATGAAGATGGCAAGGCCAAGCTTAGGCTGGAAAATGGCAGAAATAGGGCGACAACCTTTAATTTGTAACACGCAATCCACCAACTTTTCTTAATGCGTTAATAAAATTTGAGGTGATGTTACAATGTTGTTTTCTCTCGAATTCATGGCCAAGAAGTCGCACTTAGATCTTCAGAGTCTATCAGTGTTTAGTAGGTACACTCGAAGACCTTAGCTGATTATTATAATTTTTTATTTCGGCATTTGCTTTTATTGATCATATCTGGATTTGATTTAATGACGCTCATATCACTGGGGGTTACAGTATTAGTCGTGTTGAAGGGAACGACACTAAAACACGTAACAGGTGGGCTGCAGGAAGGCTGCTGTCTCCCACTCAACAAAGACCTGAATTGTATTAGAAGTCACGGGGCACCTGCGTCTTAACTGACACCAGACAAAATGTGACCTCAGCCTCCCACATAATGAATATCAACGCATAGCGAGATATCCAAGTTATGTTTCTGCAGGGACTAAATTAAGTTACAAGCCTCCACCATCAGAGCTCAGTGGCACACGCATAAGGGGTTTGACTTTTTGCGAGGGCATCTCCAGATGATGCACAGTGCAAGGTTAATTAAGGGGAAAGCATTGTCCGCAAACGTGCTGGTACAATCCTGGGGGAGAAACCACTGCAGTTCAAATGGACAGCAAGTTTCCTCTCGTTTGCTCTGTAGCTGACACATTGGCATGCCAGTGTTGGAGTCCCAGCACACGGACAAAATGAAGAGCAAAACCCGCACAATCACCCATCTACTGAAATCAACGCCAAAACAGTGGTACCTCGTTCTGTAAAATCCATAATGATCACCACCGGTAGCTGATACCCACGATTCGAATGCAAGATCTCAGCAGTGCAAGCCCAGGCACGATAGGCCTCTTGAGTCTCACGAAAATGTTCAGCAATGCCTTTAAAAAATCTTAAATGTATATTGCAATACAATTATGTGGCCAACCAGGGTAAACATCTCCCAAATGTCGATTTAAAGCTTTCGTGACTGCAGGGATTCATCTTCTTGGTTCTTTCGGTAAAGTCACGTAGAAGGGAAGTAATAAAATAATAAAAATAAAACATAATAAAATAATTCTCACGACGTTTCGGCTACAACACCTGAAGACGGCTGCTTGCGTTGTAGCCGAAACGTCGTGAGAATTATTTTATTATGTTTTATTTTTATTATTTTATTACTTCCCTTCTACGTGACTTTACCGAAAGAACCAAGAAGATCTCCCAAATGACCGACGAAGCAACATACAAAGTTATAAGCGATTCCCAATCTGTCATCTAGGGAGCAGTAGAAAATATAAAAATGGTAAAGAGTGCAGACAAAAGTAAGCGGTGTCTTTTCACGTGAAAATGATGTGGCAGGTGGGAAATAGTCGTCAATGGCCCCTTTCATTGACAAAGCTCCCAGAGCAGTCGTATTTTGTAAGTGGTAGAATGATGATGATTCAAACCTCTGGACAAGGGCACACCTGGGTTGCGCTTGTACCCTGGACAGGATCTGAAACAAACAGCGAAAACAAATCACGTGCATTAATAGTTGATTTAATGACTTGTGAGTTTGACAGTTGTTAGAGTTTTGTGACTAATATTATTCATCATATAAGTATTTTTGGGGGGTTAGATCGCTTTAAGTATAAATGTGTCGTTAACATGCCACCACCCGACACAGACAATTAAGTAAGGGGTTGTTACGTAAACAAACGTGCAATTAAGTTACTACTTCAGCCCCACCGCTTTGCTGGAGAGTAAATCCACAGCATGTACAATTCGAGTACCTGGTGAGGTTTCGCCGGGAATTACATTCGGCATCTTTGGGGGCGATTTCGTCAGAATTGTAAAACAGATCTACCCACTTCTGGTCTTAACTAGAGCAAGAAGACGTCATCACCGTGAGTTTGTTTTCGGAAGAGCTTTACTTATGTGTGTGTCTGTCCTGCCTGCTATGACATTGATTATGAACGTGGTATTTAATGAAGAAAGATGGAGCAAAAAACAACAAAAGTTGTGCAAAGAAGCTTTGAGAGATACATTGAGGCACGGTTTGTCCACTATGGGCGTTGGGTGCTGTCAAATAAAAATACTTTTTTATAAATTGTGTTGTTGTTATTGTTCACTAATTTTTTTTAACGCAATGATTCTTTCAACGTGAATTGCCTAATGAAGGTAAAAATGTAAGTTGCCCATATTAGAAACCGCTGCGATGCCACAGTCTGATTTGTGGCTCGGGGAGGTGTCGGGGCAGCTGTGAAGGCGTTCTGAGCGAGCGATATCCCTTCATTTATTGTGATTAGCTTCTTGAAATGAATAATTTAAGACCTATTCAGGGCAGTGATAAAGGAGCCCGTGGCTGCAATGACTATGCCACAATGCTAGGTTGCACTGTGCAAATATAGGTCACGGCTCTAGGAGGTTGTGTAGTGTGTCCTTGAGGGTCATGGGGACAGCATTTGAGTGTATTGATAAGACAGTTATATCACTTTCACGGGAAGGCCAATGACATGACGAGGGTTTTTATTAATTAGAACACCATGTTTTTACAGGTCACTCACAACATCCCCACCAAATGGAAATGTCACGAGCCGCCACTGGATACATCTGTTGAAATGTACATTAAGAAGCAAAAAAAGTGGAACGTGGAGCAAAGAACATATGCTGGTTACTGACAACAATGAAAAGTTTTAAGAAAAAGGCATGGGCTGGACATGTCGTTACAAGAAGAAAAACATGTTGGATGCTGGTCGAGACGAATGATGGAGTGGTAGACAAGTGATGTAATGCGCCCATGAGGATGTTCACCGAGGAGAAATAAACAATTGATTCAGGCTTTCACCCGAGCGATCCGTAGATTGTTACATCGCAAGGTCCACATGCGAGCAAGGTCAGCGGCTTTGATGGTCGTTCATCAACAATTGATCATCGTTGATTGTGATAACATCTGTGATAGAGCTGTGGCATCGCACGAGATGACGTGACGTACAATCAAGCCATAGGGATATCAGAATCAGAATGTTGATTTATACTGGAGGAATCCGATGAGCTCGAAAGCTTTTTTTCACAGATGTCCAGGAGAGGTGAGAAGGGAACGTTACAACAACAGCAAAAACAAACTTTACCTAAACACATACAAATTTAACTAAACCATCTCCATCCTACCAAAACGGTCTGACCACAGATGATAGCTCAACAAAGTGACTCATCATTTGGACATTTATAGTACCAAAATAATCTGAATATTCGCAATGCATGTTTCTAAATGTAGAAGAAAACCCAGAGAACCCGGAGAAAAAAACCACGCGATCACGGCGAGAACATGCAAACACCAAATATACAGGCATCCGGGTAGGGATTGAACCCGAGACCTCCTGCATACCAGGCGAGGAAGATATCATCACCATTTCAAACCATGTTTATTTTTCGTTTATCACGTTTTTATTTTTTTGGCAGCTTTTATGAATTTGCTCGGTTTTCTCTAAGATAAGTTTCCCAATAGCAACACAAATTTACTCTCACGTTAAATGCACGACGGGGTCATCCATTGTGAGCATTTAACACGAGCTCGTGTGTTATTAACAGATCGGAGAGACCAGCAGAAACACGCATTCACACTTAAAAAGTCAGTTTGAAAGCGTTAAATTGCCATCTGCATCCAACAATTAACCATCATACTTACATGCTTTGGGAACGTTGTGGTTTGGGGGCAATGCTAGGTCGAACTGCAGAACACAGAGAGCACCTGTTAGCATTGACACAATGTATCAGTTGAAATTGCATATACTGTACAATGTTTAATACGATTAACGAATTGACTTTGTGAGGCATCTCGATGTAGGAGAGTAGAGTGAGATGGGAAGGGATAGGTAGTAGAGTGCGTGGAGGAGAGTTGAGTGAGATGAGATGGGAGATGTAGGCGAGTTCGTGGGGGGAGAAGAGTGAGATGACAGGGGAGAGGTAGGCGAGTGTGTGGAGGGTAGTGGAGTGAGATGGGAGGGGAGAGGTAGGAGAGGGCATAGAGAGGAGTAGAGTGAGATGAGTGGGGAGAGATAGGCGAGTGTGTGGAGGGTAGTGGAGTGAGATGAGTGGGGAGAGATAGGCGAGTGTTTTGAGGGTAGTGGAGTGAGATTAGAGGGGAGATGTAGGCGAGTGTGTGGAGGGTAGTGGAGTGAGATGAGAGGGGAGAGGTAGGAGAGTGTGTGGAGGGGAGAAGAGTGAGATGAGAGGGGAGAGGTAGGCGAGTGTGTGGAGGGTAGTGGAGTGAGATGAGCGGGGAGAGATAGGCGAGTGTGTGGAGGGCAGTAAAGTGAAATGAGAGGGGAGAGGTAGGCAAGTGTGTGGAGGGGAGTAGAGTGAGATGAGAGGGGAGAGGTAGGGGAGTGTGTGGATGTTAGTGGAGTAAGATGGAAGGGGAGAGGTTGGCGAGTGTGTGGAGGTGAGTAGAGTGAGATGAGAGGGGAGAGGTAGGCGAGTGTGTGGAGGTTAGTGGAGTGAGATGGAAGGGGAGAAATAGGTGAGTGTGTGAAGGGTAGTGGAGTGAGATGAGAGGGGAGAGGTAGGCGAGTGTGTGGAGGGTAGTAAAGTGAAATGAGAGGGGAGAGGTAGCCAAGTGTGTGGAGGGGAGTAGAGTGACATAATAGGGGAGAGGTAGGCGAGTGTGTGGAGGGTAGTGGAGTGAGATGGGAGGGGAGAGGTAGCGAGTGTGTGGAGGGAATCATAGTGCGGCAAGTAGACTGCAGGAAGGGATAGTGACTGTGATTTTGAAAGTTTAAGTTGGGTTATGTATACAGTGAGGGAAAAAAGTATTTGATCCCCTGCTGATTTTGTCCGTTTGCCCACTGACAAAGAAATTATCAGTCTATAATTTTAATGGTAGGTTTATTTGAACAGTGAGAGACAGAATAACAACATAAAGCCAGAAAAACGCATGTCAAAAATGTTATAAATTGATTTGCATTTTAATGAGGGGAATAAGTATATGACCCCTCTACAAAACATGACTTAGTACTTGGTGGAAAACCCTTGTTGGCAATCACAGAGGTCAGACGTTTCTTGTAGTTGGCCACCAGATTTGCACATATCTCAGGAGGGATTTTATTCCCCTCCTCTTTGCAGATCTTCTCCAAGTCATTAAGGTTTTGAGGCTGACGTTTGACAACTCAAACCTTCAGCTCCCTCCACAGATTTTCTATGGGATTAAAGTCTGGAGACTGGCTAGGCCACTCCAGGACCTTAATTTGCTTCTTCTTGATCCATTCCTTTGTTGCCTTGGCCGTGTGTTTTGGGTCATTGTCATGCTGGAATACCCATCCACGACCCATTTTCAATGCCCAGGCTGAGGGAAGGAGGTTCTCACCCAAGATTTGACGGTACATGGCCCCGTCCATCGTCCCTTTGATGCGGTGAAGTTGTCCTGTCCCCGTAGCAGAAAAACTCCCCCAAAGCATATTGTTTCCACCTCCATGTTTGGCGGTGGGGATGGTGTTCTTGCGGTCATAGGCAGCATTCCTCCTCCTCCAAACACGGCGAGTTGAGTTGATGCCAAAGAGCTCCATTTTTGTCTCATCTGACCACAACACTTTCACCCAGTTGTCCTCTGAATCATTCAGATGTTCATTGGCAAACTTCAGACCGGCATGTATATGTGCTTTAATTCTAGATTTGAAGCTTTCGTGACTGCAAGGATTCATATTCTTAGGTTTTTTCGGTAAAGTCACGTAGGTAAAACATCAAAATTAATAAAAATAAAATAAAGATCACGACGTTTCGGAGGCAACACAAGTCTCCGTCATCAGGTGGGACCGTCACAGCCAGATTAGCTGCATCAAGTGAGGCAATGATTCAAGATGTAATCCCTTAAAAGCGAGTTGAGGGGGGAGGAGAGGGGGGGAGCTCATCAGAATCTGGTAGCCAATGAATGGAACGTATCGGGAGGGAGGGGGGCGGGGCCAGAAGGATGGGCGACGGCGTGGAAGCGATTGTGCGCAAGCGACTAACTGCTGCACACGCCAACGCATTGGACAGAGAGGGGGAGGGGGAGGCCTGATACACATGATAGAAAAGAACGAAAATGCCCATGTTTATACCAATGCTGGCTGAACAATGAAGAGATTACTGTTAAACACTGGTGATGTTAACACTCGGTAAAGTAAAGTAAAATAGTGCCTGTCAGATAAGATGGTCCAAAAAAGTGTAATTAAGTCTTTTTTGCGTGGTTAATAACATATTTCCAATGATTACTAAGGAAAAAACCTAAGAATATATGTGCTTTCTTGAGCAGGGGGACCTTGCGGGCGCTGCAGGATTTCAGTCCTTCATGGCGTAGTGTGTTACCAACTGTTTTCTTGGTGACTATGGTCCCAGCTGCCTTGAGATCATTGACGAGATCCTCCCGTGTAGTTCTGGGCTGATTCCTCACCGTTCTCATGATCATTGCAACTCCACGAGGTGAGATCTTGCATGGAGCCCCAGGCCGAGGGAGATTTACAGTTCTTTTGTGTTTCTTACATTTGCGAATAATCGCACCAACTGTTGTCACCTTCTCACCAAGCTGCTTGGCGATGGTCTTATAGCCCATTCCAGCCTTGTGTAGATCTACAATCTTTTCCCTGATATCCTTGGAGAGCTCTTTGGTCTTGGCCATGGTGGAGAGTTTGGAATCTGATTGATTGCTTCTGTAAACAGGTGTCTTTTATACAGGTAACAAGCTGAGATTAGGAGCACTCACTTTAAGAATGTGGTCCTAATCTCAGCTCGTTACCTGTATAAAAGACACCTAGGAGCCAGAAATATTTCTGATTGAGTGTGGGTCAAATATTTATTTCCCTTATTAAAATGCAAATCAATTCATAACATTTTTGACATGCATTTATCTGGATTTTGTTGTTATTCTGTCTCTCACTATTCAAATAAACATACCATTAAATTATAGACTGATCATTTCTTTGTCAGTGGGCAAACGTACAAAATCAGCAGGGGATCAAATACTTTTTTCCCTCACTGTACATGCTGAACCTCTTTCACACTAAATGTAGCCAACTGTGCTAATCAGAGGTGCGATGTGCCGATACTGTGATACGTTGTTTTATTTCATCTATTATTCTTAAAATCTGTTTAAACAAATATAACCTCACGGTTAATATCATGATTCCTCTACTTTTTAAAAAGGTATTTACTTCATTACATATCTTTATAGTTGTTAAGAATTAAAATTCGCAATCATAATAGTATTCTAATATAATATATTTTACCCATTGAATTTGTGATTTGTAGAAACGATCTGCAATCATTGACATCGTGCCAGTGATGTGACTCAATTCGTTGATCATTTAACAGATTATTCTGTAGGTGTCGGCATGTGCCCTTGTATGAAATTAGATGCATAGCCCAAACAAATACAGAAAGACTCTGAGTATCCCACCACCACTTCTGAGAAAACAAATATCTAAAGAACCAGGGATATGCATATTTAAAATGGCCAACATGCACGTGCGTTGCCATAAGTAATTCCAGGCAGTGATGTGTGGAGCAAGGAAAGAAGCTTCCAAAGAGTGAGAGAAAAAAGTAGCGTCGAAAATGTAGCACGTGAACACAATTGTCAATGGTACTGACGAGAGCAGTCCTTTGAATGAATTAGAATGATTCTTACCTCTGGGCACGGGCACTGGCATGGATGAGTCTCCCCTGTACCAAACAGGAAAGATAAAAATTGCACATTTATTGTTAATATCTCTTCTAATTTGTGTTTGTCCTTAAATATTATGGTGGCACTGATTTAATGTTTTTGTTTAATACGTTTTATAATTGGCACACACACGCTGCGGATTATTTATTGTTGTTGAATGTTGCATAATATCGACATTTTAGCTTCATCAGAGGATATTCTAGCAATCGCTGATGAGTACTCAGGTTTCAGTCTATGGCTTTCAAATTGGACACTCCTTGAATGTAGGGGGGATTTCTAGATCGTTTCGGAAAAAAATGGTAATGCTCTGGTAACTCCTGAAACAAGCCATAACCTTCTCGAATAAATATGGACACTTCTGGAAGAGGCAGGAAATCCCTTGAATGAGCTGTAATAATCTGTACATTTTTAGAACTTTCCAAAAACACAATGAAAATTACTCCAGGAGGTTTCACCCACAGCGTCTCAGAACATCCCAGATCGTTAAAAGTAGCAGCTGATAGGGTAATAAAAAAAACCTAATTCCCCCCTAGGGAACCCCACTACTCAGATATCCTTTGCGTTGAACAAATGACCAAGTGGCCATGAATTGATGACGAAACCTTTATTTTTATTTTTTATTAACTTCGTCGGCTGAGAGTTTGTGAATAGTTCATTCACAAAAGCGTGCAGAGAAGAGATTCTCAGCCTTAACACGTAGTCGGAGGAAGTATTTAGAGTTTTTTGGGGTTAAATCGTGTAAATATAAATGTTGATTTGATGCTTTCGTGACTGCAGGAATCCATGCTCTTTGGTTCTTTCGGTAAAGTCACGTAGGTAGAAAAATAATAGATCACGACGTTTCGATCGCAACACAAGCAATCGTCATCAGGTAGGACAACTACAGCAAGAAAAAACTGCTGAAGTAGGCGAGAGAGCTGCCGTGGCACGAAGTTATATAGGTATTGGCGGTAGGGGGAGAGAGAAGGGGGGCGGAGAGAGGGGGCGGGGCAGAAAGTGGGACCCCACAGCAGCACTGGGGGAGAGATCTGCTCAGAGACCCTGCAGCAGCACTTGAGTCACTGGGGGAGAGATCCGAGCGAGGCACAGAGAGAGAGACACACACAAGGAGTCGGAAATAACAGCTGACATAGGCAGGGAGGATGGAAACATCACAGTCAGTTACTTTACCTGGTTAATAACGTCCTTCCAATGATTGCTCAGTTTGTACCCATCTTCTCGGTTGAAGTTATGTCTGTGTTTATATATTTGGAGGGCTTCATGAACAAATCTCTGATAATAGCCTTTGTCAAGGCGCCCTTCCTCCTCTAACCCAGCTTAAACATACGCTGCCAAGCTTGGTGGTGTTCATTCAGACGCTGTCTTTCCGACAGGCCTGCTCTTCACCTGAGGACGGCTGCTTGCATTGTGGCCGAAACGTCGTGAGAATTGTATTTTATTATATTTTATTTTTATTATTTTATTATTTTCCTTCTACGTGACTTTACCGAAAGAACCAAGAAGATTCCAAGAACACAGGATGAGATGTTACTATCCTTTGTGCAAGCACTTCCAAGAGTTCATGAACAGTGAGCCTGGTAAAATTTGGAGAGCGCATCGTCAGTAGTGAACCTTTGGTTCCGAGGGTGTTTCGGCCTTTCATACTATACACCCTCCCCAAAGGCGGCCAGCGACAGGGTGATCAAACCTACGCTTGCGTCCCATTCCCAATTAGTCATAGGAGTTGCCTTGTTGTTAATAGCCAACATCCCATGGGACTATGCATGGCAGGGGCGTCCTCCTCCCTGAGTCAAGCATTGTTGACTGCACACCTCCTGGCCCTCTCACTTTGGGGCCCAGCTGGGGTCTTTCCTCTTCATCCAGAGCCACTGACTGCTGCCTTCTGCCGCCTCCGATACAGCTCTGATTGCCGAACGCTGGCTCTGGCCCTTAATTCCCAGGTCTCTAAGCAGTCTGGTTGTAGATGTTGCCACAAAACCTCTGCAGCCCACCTCCACTGGTCTGACTTCTGTGTTCCAGCCATGATGCCGTGCTTCGGCAGCTATATCGGCATAGCGCAGATGTTTTCACTCATAAGCCTCATCTACTGAGTCCTCCCAGGGTACTGTGAGCTCAATGATGAAGACCTTCTTGAGTGAACGGGACCAGAGCACCATGTCAGGTCTTAGGGTGGTGGTTGCGATCTCCGGAGGAAACACAAGTTGCCGGCCAATGTCAGCTAGCATTTTCCAGTCGCGGGCCAAGCGCAGCTGGTCTCGCTCTAATGGTGTAGAGCCGGTCTTCGGTGGTTTAGCCCCTTCGCGGACAAAGGTCGTCCGTAGGGGGTGTGATGCTGCTGGGGGTGGTAGGGAGTTGGTGGCAGCTCGCTTGTCCTCCAGGGCGGACGCAAGGTTTTTAAGGACTTGCTTGTGACGCCAAGTGTAGCGTCCTTGGGTGAGGCTTGTTTTACACCCTGTGAGAATGTGCCTGAGGTTGGCTGGCATGGAACAGAGGGCACAGTCCGGATCTTCACCAAACCATTGGTGAAGATTAACTGGTGTTGGAAGGACGTCATATGTTGCTCTGATAGAAAAGCTTAACCGCCTCGCTTCCATGGTCCACAGATCCTTCCAGCTGATCTTCCTCTTCTCCACACTGTCCCATCGAGTCCACTGTCTCTGTTTGGCAAGAGAGACTGCCTTAGCCCACCTTGCAGCCTCCTCCTGATGGCGTACTTCCTGCACTACCATCTTCCGCCGCTCTGGTGCAGTGGCCTTACTCCAAGCAGCACGGCTAGTTAGCCCAAGGCCTCCTCTCCCTTGCTGAACATGACCCACAATGTCAGCATGTCTGAGGGCTGCTGTTGCCTCCTGGACTGCTTTTCCTGGCCTCCATTTGCGCCCAGTTGCCAAGGTCGGCGCATTGTTGCTCACCACTGGGTCTCGAGATTCATTCAGTGTCATCTGAAGCCTGGTTTTTGCACACTTGAATTCCTCGGTTAGACTGGTGAGGGGCAGCTTGAGGACACCATCTCCATAGAGGCCTATGGTGGTAAGGCATCGTGGAACTCCGAGCCACTTCTTTAAGTAGCTCGTGACTCCTCTTTCCATCTTCTCCACTGTTGAGATTGGAACCTCATACACTGCTAGGGGCCACAACACCCGGGGTAGGAGACCAAACTGCAGACACCAGGCCTTTAACTTTCCAGGTAGCTGGGTGTTGTCGATGGACTGTAGGCTACTACTGAGAAATAGCCGGTGAGTTTGCAGAGTACCTTCGTCTTGGAAAAATCTATTTCGTGTGAGCCCACTGCTTTACAACAATGATCAGCAACGGCAGAATAATTGGTCCTAACGTGTTTCTGATCTGCCTTGTGTTCGCGAACGCAGTCCGAGACATGTCGTTTCGTTTCCCCAATGTAACTGCTGCTGCAGCCACAACTAAGTTTGTAGACACCCGGGTATTGCATATCAGGAATCACATCCTTTACAGATGGGATCAAATCACGGATTTTGTGTAATGTGTTGAAACGAACCTGGATCTTGTGTTTGTTTAAGATTTGGGAAATATTTTTGGTAACCCCTGCTATGTATGGCAAAGTGATGGTATTGATTAGATCCTTAGATGTTTGTTTGCCTCCCCATGGCTGGGGAGACAGCTTAGCGGATTGTACGGTCAGAATATTCGTTCATCATGAGGGCTTGGTGTACGTGCTCCAGCTCACTGGCTAGGTGATGCTGGTCGGAGATGCAACGGGCCCTACGGTGTAGTGTTTTGATGAGGGAATCCTTCTGGGCCGGATGGTGGTTAGCATCAGGCTTTAGATAGGCAATCCGTTTGGGTGGCTTTCCTGTAGATAGAGTGTCCCAGCGAGCCATCAGTTCTCTTTTCGATCTAAACATCCAGGAATGGTAGCTTGCCATTCTTTTCCACTTCCATGGTGAATTTGATAGATTGGTTTATGGAATTTATGTGGTTGAGAAATTGGTTCAGTGCTGGCAGGCCATGTGGCCAGATGACGAACGTGTCATCTATGTATCTCTTCCACAAGGAAGGACGTAGGGTGGATGTCTGGATGTCATCCGTCTCAAATTTCTCCATGAAAACATTGGTTACTACTGGCAATAAGGGAGGACCCATTGGGATACCCTCATTTTGTTTGTAGAATGTTTGTAGAATGTACCATTCAAACACTTACTTCACCTGGAATGGTACATTCTACAAACATTCTACAATGCCTTACCGAAAGAACGAAAGAGTATAAATATAAATGTGCCGTTAAAGCCGCTACCAACCGACACAGCCAAACAGGAGGACTTCTCCACAACTCTGGTTGTCGCCTGACGATGCTGGTTGTTGTAATTACCAATGAAACAACGCGGTGCTCGAGTTGTAAATGTTGTAATGGGTTTCCTCTCCAACACTCAACCGGTTAGATAATGTGTGCATTGTCTTTGAAACCTATTCTTATTTTTCAACATGTTTAATACTCGCAAAAAGGTATCCCATAGATATAACTGTTCGATATGATACTTGCATTCTTATTGTACTGTTTGCCTTTTGGCGTTGGTGCCTGGTCTAACATTGATAGTGAGACAATGCCATAACGAAGACTGTCTCTTGCATAGGGCAGTTTCAACGACAATACATATATTATCTGAGCATGTTTGTTTGCATATTTTGCCACAAGTACCCGTGGTTAATGCAGACTTAATGCCTTGCAAGAGGTATCTAAGTGGTGTTTGAGCATCTTAACACGCCACCTGTTTGATTGCCAGAAAGGGTAAAACCTATTCTTATTTAACAGCCAAATAATGAAACGCATCAAAGGGCACTTTAATCGAGATGGAGCAATGACATCCACACTTGTGTGAGTGCTCGTTGGATTGTTACATAGCAGGATCCTGAGCGATGTCATCAGCTTGGAAAGAACTTCATGGAACAGTCGATCAATATTTTTTTGATGATGATTAATCATGTTGTGATAGCTATGACATCACATATGATATGGTGCATATAGTGATGCCATAGGGGTATGGACTCATGGGGTGCTGCAGTGGGAAGATGTTAACTCTCTCGGCTGGTATATATAGAGGTCGTGGGTTCGATCCCGACCCTGTGACGCTGCAGTATATTTGGAGTGTGTGTGTGTCTCTCTCCCCATGGTTGTGTAGATTTTTCTCCGGGTTCTCCAGTTTTTCCCTCCACATTTAGAATCAACATCACGCCTTTAGAGTATTTGGCTGCTATAAATTTCCACATTACAATCGGCAACTTCGTTGAGCTATAATTTGTGATAGCCAGGTTGCTTCTGAAAAAGAGCTCGATAGCTCAGTGGGCCTTACCTGGTAAAATAAAAAGTCTAGTTTTTAGTTTATATGTGTATGACGTGTGACGTTATCGCGGTGGGAAAACATGTATCCATTTACCGCATTTTTTTTTTCATCACACAATTTTGTGCTGGCCCTAAGAGCAACACAAATTGATGCAAAAGATCAAACTTATGACAGAGCAATTGTTTTCGAGCGCTAATTGTAAGCTCGTGTTACAGACCAACGGACAAGTGGAACTACGGAATTACCATTTTAAAACTTAGTTTTTGAAAACATTCAACTGGCACCAGGGTCCAAAATTGAACCATCACACTTACATGCTCTTGGGACGTTCCGTTTTGGAAGGAACCTTTGGTGAAACTGCAGAACACAGAGGGCGCTTGTTAGCGTTGACAATGTATCAATTACAATTTTATACACGAACTTTTTTCATAGAATGTATTATTCGACTTGAAAAGGCCTCTTGATGACATATCAAGTCCTGTACAAGTAGCTTAGGACCGCACATGGATCGGAGTAAAATGAGATGGGAGCCGAGAGGTTGGAGAATGCATCCATGGAAGTGGAATAACGTGAGAAGTAGGAGAGTCGAGTGTGTGGAGCAAAGTCGAGTGAAGGGAGAATCGAGTGAGATGAGAGGGGAAAGACAGAGGCGAGGTCGAGTCCCATAGAGGATCTTGAAAATAATCCAATCTTTAAATATATTTACACTTACAGTGGAAGTAAGTGGATAGTATTTGGTTATTTGGTCTCCTGTATATAACAATCACAATCTTTATTTATTATGGAGAAATCTGATGAGCTATAGAGATTTTTTTGCTAGAGATTCTTCAGCAGGAGCGGACCAGAAAGTTACAACAGCAACAAATGATACAAAAAACACGATAGGAGTGCAGAAAACGATAGGTATACAAACCTATTGGAAAGGTAAGCAAGTCACTCAAAATAAATAAGTAACAATTACCTTATTCTAAGAACAATAATTATCTGCACGCCTATACGGGTCACCACATGTCGATGGCCATTAACTGTGAGCAACCAATAACAGGTATTGTGATCTCTTGCATCCATAAACGGCAGGATGTGCATGCATGGTTTTCATGCATAATGTGCGTGCATAACGTATGTTGGTTAACCTATGAAAACTCCAACCGGCAAATTATATCCATTATAATTTATATGAATACATTACCCCCCCCCCCCCCCCCGCTCTGGTCTTTGCACCTTATTGGCTCACAAGTGACGACATGACATTTAAGCCCCACTCTTTTTAAGACCGAAACAGGACGATCATTTCTCCACAACTCTGGATGTCGCCTGATGCTGCTAGTTGCAATTACTGGTGAAACGTCACGGTAATCGAATTGTAAATATCGTGGGTTTACTTTCCAACACACCCATGTGCTGTACAAGTAAAAAATGGCACGTTTTGATGACGTGACAAACCTTACTAATTGGCTGTGTCGGGCGGTGGCAGATTTATCGAGAGACATTTTTATTTATGCGGTCCAACCCAAAAAAACCTCTATTATGGATATTGATCGTGAGAGCCTACGTGTTAAACTACAAACACAATCATGCAACTATCGTGCGTTTCAAACCTGGTGTTGTGGTTTTCTGCGAAAGTGAGTTCTCTTGCCTGCGAATAGAAATATCACAACTCTTCATTTGTTTTTTAATTGTTTTTGTTTTCCATACACACGTTACACCGTTATGATAAAATATAAATTGGAGCAGAGTTTTGAAGCAGCGCAATGTTAACGAAATTGGCAGCTTGCAGCCAAATGCACTGGACAGACCAATACAATCAACAAATTCAACTGAAGCGAATTGGCTTCGAATTTAATACAGGGGTTGTTAGGTGAATATTTACGTGTCGATTTGTAGGGCTCCAAGTTATGGAAACATTTTAGCCTTGACTGATAGAGAGTGTATACGAGATAATTTAAGTATGGTGACTTTAGAGCAATATATATATAAAGTTTCTCATGTATTTTAAATTGAGGAACACATGCAGTTTACAGCAATAGACAAGGTCTTTGATTGGTTCAACCAAGCACGAATGACTTTATATACGGCTTCTAATATAGGCTTAGAACCAGAGGCAGCAGTTGCTCAGGAAGAGAACGCCACATGTCAGCATGTCTGCAGTTCACCAGGGACCAATATAAGAGGCCAAGGACAAGAAGAAGTAAGTAATTATTTTTGAATAATTCTGCACAGGGCATACAGGAAATAATATCAAACATATATCTTACCTATAAACGTCATACTTTGTCTGTCTGTCCGTCTGTCCGTCTGCATACGCGCTTGCGAGGGATTTGGCTCTAACCGTGGGGGTAATGTCGAAAAAAAGTTGCCAGGCAGCACGCCCTAAGCCCCGCGGTGGGAATAGGCTATTCCGTTTTCCCATCCGTAAACTTTAAAAAAGTTAAATTAACAATTTGGTGCCATCAATTTAGGTACCAAGCAACGTCTCAACTCATCACCACTCCCAACATACATACACATCTTTGGTCACAGCATCATGTTCACCGATCACTATAGCTACCTCAGTGTCATCCTAGATTCAACTTTATCCTTCGACCGTGAAACCAATAATATCATCAGTTCATGTAACTTTCACCTGAAGGCTCTCAGACACCTACGTCCTCTCATCTCCACTGAAATTGCCAACACATTGGCATGTTGCATAGTTGGATCTCGCCTTGACTATTGCAACTCCATCCTAGTCCGGACCTCCACTGGCAACCTAAAAAAACTTAAGAGACTACAAAACAACCTAGCACGCATCGTCATTGGCCACACTCATCCCCGTCTCGACTCACTTGCCTGTCTCCGTGCCCTCAACTGGCTATCCATCGCCAGCAGGCTAATATACAAGATTGCCTGCCTCTGCCACCATGCGTTCACATCTGCCTGACCGCCGTACCTTTCTTCATTATTGACGACTTGCAGCTCAGCACACGGCAGATGCCTGCGCAGCGCGACTCACGACCTCCTCTTGATACCAAGATCCAGGATGGTCATGCCTATGCGCCGCTTCTCGGTGGCAGCCCCAACAGTCTGGAACGCTCAATCGCCTCCTTCAAGAGATACTTAAAAACTCACCTCTATAAATATGCTTTCGAGCGACTCTGAGCTTGGCTGCGCACTTCTGAGTTGCGGCCGTTACGTCCGCAAACTTGCACGTTATAAATAGCATTATACTGGTAGGAACGAAGTGGACCAGACCACCAATAGATTAATGTGTCCGTCCGTCCGTCCGACTGTCCGTCCGTCCGTCCGTCCGTGTATCAACATCGCCCCCTACTGCAAACACTTGGCATGACCCTACAAAAACCTTTAGACTCAGTGACGCTATCCTGGTAGCAACATCGCCCCCTACTGCAAACACTTGGCATGACACGTGTAACATTCCCTTATTCCTTGAGATAGCTTTTAATTAAAACTTTGAAATTAAATAAAAACAACTCACAGCGCCCTAAAGCCTACAGCTAGGCCTAAAGCCTAGAACTAGGCCTGAAACTCTCCCTTCGTATCGTACCCCCGCGTGTGTGAAAGGGAGTTATGTTTAACAATGTTACATTCCCTCATGTTTTTAAATAGAAACATTTAAATTTAAAGCTTTTACATAAATCATTAAAACATTTAAATAAAAAATTAACTCACAGCGCCCTAAAGCCTACAGCTAGGCCTAAAGCCTAGAACTAGGCCTCAATCTCTCCCTTCGTATCGTCCGATTTGGTGTAGCAACATCGCCCCCTACTGCAAACACTTGGCAGGACCCTACAAAAACCTTTTGACTCAGTGGGGCTTTCCTGGCTTAACAAGTGTAATAATAAACTTCGCTTCAAATTTACTTTACTGAAACGCAGCACGTTTTTTAACACAGAGACAAGATACATTTATTAACACAGAGACAAGATACATTTAATCGCCTTATTTGTGCACGAAAAGCACGGTGCGAGGCCTAGTGCGGCAGGCTTTGCGAGGCCTAGTGCGCCAGGCTTTGCGAGGCCTACTGCGGAAAAGGCTTCGCGAGGCCTACTGCAGAGAAGGCATCGCAAGGCCTACTGCAGAGAAGGCTTCGCGAGGCCTACTGCAGAGAAGGCTTCGCGAGGCCTACTGCAGGGAAGGCTTCGCGAGGCCTAGTGCAGAAGGCTTCGCGAGGCCTACTGCAGGAGGCTTCGCGAGGCCTAGTGCAGGAGGCTTCGCGAGGCCTAATGCGACAGGCTTCGTGAGGCCGTCCGTCTGTCTGACAAGATGGCCGCCCGCTCCCCCTGCGATCCGTGAACTAAATGAACTAAACAAGATGGCCGTCGCATCCGGCGCAGCCAATGACATTACCTGTTGCAATCCTTGCTCTGTGGGCGCGCGAGTCAGTGGGGAGGGGGGTGTGGACGTCATCGCTCTGTGGGCGCGCGAGTCAGTGGGGAGGGGGGTGTTGACGTCATCGCTCTGTGGGCGCGCGAGTCAGTGGGGAGGGGGGTGTTGACGTCATTGCTCACCCCCCATGCACAAATCATTTTCTTTTTAACTCCTCTATACCCGGTCAATATCCCTGTACCGGTATTAGTATTATTCCTACCAGCCCACCCCGCAGGGTCCTGTTTATGTTAATTTATTTATTTACTTTTGCTGCCCCGCGCGGGACAAATCACGCTATTGCGCATGCGCGAAACGCTGACAGGAGTTGCCCCTGGCAACACACACTCCATCGCTGGAGGGTGGGGGAGAATTCTCATTCGCATTCATAATGCAAAAAAAAAAATACACGCAACGCTGAATTAAATTAATCAAAGTGTCATGTCCTCTTCTCTCCCCCCCACCCCAATGTGTGCCTTTACTATTATAGGGTCGGTACATACTAAAATTATAGTGCTTAGACAGTATTATTGCAGCGCGGGGGGGGGGGGGGTAGCAGCCCAGCCCCCAGCCTCGGCCAGCTGGGCAATCTAGGCGAGGCCGCAGAGTCTGCATGGGACTAGGCCTCACCACGGCACTGTCAGGTGAGTACTTTGTGCAATACAGTCGATATATACAGCTATAGAGTCAGCATGTACTACTGTAGTGATAGTAGGTACCACCACAGTCAGTATGTACTGCTGTAATCGTACAGGTACCACCACAGTCAGTATGCACTGCTGTCATAGCAGGTACCACCACAGTATGCACTGTTGTAATCATAGCAGGTACCACCAAAGTCAGTATGCACTGCTGTAATTATAGCAGGTACCACCACAGTATGCAGTGATGTAATCATAGCAGGAACCACCACAGCTAGTATGCACTGCTGTTATGAAAGCCTGTACTACCACAGTATGTACTACTGTAATCACAGCAGATATCACCGCAGTCAGTATGCACTGCTGTTATCATAGCAGGTACCACAGTTTAACACGTAGGCTTTCGCGACCAATATTATTCATAATTAACGTTTTTGGGTTTAGATCGCGTTATTTATAAATGTGTCGTAACCCTCCACCACCCGACACGGCCAATCAGTAAAAAAGTGTCACGTTGACAAAAGACAAATTAGTTCACTGCTTTAGCCCACCGGTGTGTTGAAGCGCGAAACCACAACATTACAATTTGAGTACGACGTTTCGCTGGTAATTAGATCCAACATCATCGGGCAATTCGCCAGAATGGTGAGGCTCTGCTGTGTCTCCCGTTCTTATATAGAGAGAGACACAGCAGAGCCTCACCATTCTGGCGAATTGCGTGATGATGCTGGATGCAATTACCAGCGAAACGTCGTACTCATATTGTAAATGTTGTGGTTTCACGCTTCAACACACCGGTGGGCTAAAGCAGTGAACTATTTGTCTTTTGTCAACGTGACACTTTTTTACTGATTGGCCGTGTCGGGTGGTGGAGGGTTACAACACATTTATAAATAACGCGATCTAAACCCAAAAACGTTGATTATGAACAGGTACCACAGTCTGTATGCACTGATGTAGTGATTGCAGGTACCACCACAGTATGCACTGCTGTAATCATAGCAGGTACTACCACAGTCGGTATTCACTGCTGTAGTCATAGCAGGTACTGCACAGTCGGTATGCGCTGCTGTAGTGAAAGCAGATACCACCACAGTCGGTAAGCACTGCTGTAGTGATAGCACGTACCACCACAGTCGGTATGCACTGCTGTAGTGATAGCAGGTACCACCACAGTCAGTATGCACTGCTGTAGTGAAAGCAGGTATCACCCCAGCAGTATGCACTGCTGTAATCATAACAGGTACCACCACAGTCAGTATGCACTGCTGCAATCATAGCAGGTACCACCACAGTCTGTATGCACTGCTGTAGTGACAGTAGATACTGCTATCGAGTTGGTAGATACTGCTATATAGAGTTAGTAGATACTAAAACAATCAGTATATTCCACTATGGTCAGTAAATACTAGTATACAGTCAGTAGCTACTACTGGCTCAGTAGATACTACTGTACAGTCAGTTGATACAATTTAAAAGTCAATAGATACTACTTACTCTGTTGTATGTAGGGTGTGTATTTATATATATCTACGTGGGGGTAAAGATATTTTTTGAGGGGGTCGGTCGACAATTTTGGGAAACCTTTTAGATCAACTATTCACTTTCTATAACTTTTTGGACTTGTGCA